CACACGTTTGTGTGTTTTCAAATAGAAAATGCTTCTGGATACAAGAAATAAACACCCAGAACAATGAAGAGCATAAGGAGAACTATTGTTTTATATATCATCAGTTCATATTGGCCAAGCATGTGCTTGCTGATTCCCTATTTTTTGGTGCTAACATTTGACCATTGGTTGCTGTGGAATGCAAAGGAATGTTTAGTGATCGTGGCAATCTTATTATAGCTGGTTTAGAACTAGTGGGAATATGGTTGCTTTGAAATAAATAGTGCATACCTGACACGTAATAGTAGTGTAGTCTTTTGTTATTTGGTGTATAATAGTTTAGTATTATGATTATGAGAGGTTTATATATTTGCAACTGTGACTTCGCACTCTGACACTTCCATGGCCAATTGTTAAATTCACTGGGAATCCCTACTAGTATTAGTAATGACTAACATCAGTAGAAGTGTTTGACTTAAATTTAAAGCATGGAAGTGTATGAATTGACATTTCCACCTTTTCATTCACTAGTAATTTTTTGTTTGTATTGGAGACTATTTTGCTCAAAATATCATATTTGATATAAGCAAAAAACTTAAAAGAAAAGATGCCCAGAAAAGAAGTGTTGAGAAGCTATAGAATCAGTTCATTCACACAGAATTAATAGCAACATATTCTTGTGGAAACTGAAGGTTCAATCGGTTTAATAACCATTCATACAAGTAATTGGATTACAGTGTTATGGAATAATGGAAAACACCGGTTTTGATTAGTTGATTATTTTCATGACAACCAAATTAACTGAAAATACAAATACTGGATATTTGGAATAATCAGAAATGCTAGATGATTATTTTCATGACGTTAATCAATGCTCATAGCTAATAGATTATATTGAGTTAATTGCCTAGTTTTAATCTTTACCCTAATTTTGGTTCATAAATTGAAGATATTACACTTTAATTTCATCTAGTTCACATCATAATAGTTGTTCATGCAATTTGATAATATCTCAGCCACTACAGTGCTTGTTGTATCATAGGTGGCCTCATGGGTCCTAATATTTGGCAAAAGGTATCCATTGGCACTGGATATAGCAGATACAGTGTGGTTGACATTGTTATACATTCTTCTTTACTTTTGCTCGTAAGTTCTTGGAATTAAGTATAAATTAAATCTTCTGATAGTTTTGTAAATATGGTTGGAATGTTTTAAATTTAATGGTTTTTTCAATTGACCACAAGTAACTGTTTTTAAGACTAAACACAGTGTAGTAGTCTCCACACTTTTAGCAGAGTCAGCATTACCATAAGACTGCTCTTAGTGCTTTAACAGACTATTTATATATGTTTTTATATCAGCAAAAGTGTTTATGGCTTGTTTAATGCATATTTAGTATTTTAAGCAATATCTCTTCATTTTGTCAAGCCATAATAAGTAGCCACTGGTTATGTGTAATTAATGTTAAGTTTGAGTTTGAAAACAAAAGTAACTTAAAACTTTTAAAGCAGTTAATGCTGACACATGTCTACATCCAAACTTTATTTACAGGAATAACTCAGCACCTTTAAAGCATTAAAGAGTTGTTTAGAAAAATAAAAATGACTAGTGTTGAAGAATCTGTAGCTCCTGAAACTGATAATTCTGTTGGCAATGAAGCCCATCAACATGAAGTCAGTGAAGCAGATACTCTTAATGAAACTATTGGAAGTGTGGGTGAAGATGAGAGTGATCAGTGTTTGGAAGATCAAGTAAGTTAGAATACAAAACTTAACACTGTTAATTTAGTAGACCAAATGCAATGTTTTACATTGATAATTGCTTAGTGTTTTTTTAGTCTTGTTGTAAGTAAAAGAAAATTTCATGTTGAATGTATTAACCCTTTCCAGATGGGGTCAAAGGCCATGTCATTGTGTTTATTGATTTGCATTCAAAATTTTCAGGAATTTATGTGAATTAGTTTGATATCAAACTGTAGATAATAATTCAAATTTTAGTATTATACCTTACTCAATTTCTTAATTTAAAAGTAAATATTAAAAAAAAGCCAAACATTGATTTTTTTTTTGTGTGTCACGTGGTATGTTG